CGCCCACAAGTGTTGCTAATATTTTTTGTCATTGGTTGGACGATATTTCAAGTAGGGTCAAAACGTTATTAAGGATGGGAGCGTATGCCTTATTGTGGTCGCTTTGACTATGTAGAAATATTTTGGTTTTTAATAACATAAACTTTTTTGCTTTGTAGGTTATTTTCCACTGTACGCACTCGCTTCATATGTAGTCTAGGCTACAACGGACGGAGTACCAACCGCTGTTTAAGATGGTGTATACGCAGTTGGAGCGAGTGACCAAAAAGATTTTTACCTAACATAGGTGATAGCATAGTCTCCGGATCAGCCCACTACTTTCTTCGACATAGGCAAAGTATTACTGTTGTTGATATGTAGGCAGAGTATTACTGTTGTTGATATGTAGGTTTCTCGTTTATTTTTATTTTCCGGATCAGCCCACCACCTTTTTCGACATAGACACAATGTTGGTCCTATATGACTCTACTGTTGCCGATATGTCGGTTTCTCGTTTTCTTTTTTTTAGATTTTTGATGTTTGGCTGTGTGCATCTTGATTATACAGAGGTCGGATTTATTTATCATATTTTGTATCTGCTTGATGCTACATTTTAAGTTAATAAAAGCACCTTTTATCGGAAAAAATTACGTGTTTCACTTGAGGATAGAGTCAATTATTTGCACACCACATAGTACAATGGAAAATCATCATCATTCTCTTGGGGTCGACGACACGATCCAGTTGGAAGCACACAACACAATCGAAAAGGGCAAAGATACATGCACAGCACAAAACTAGCACGCACGTAACGTGCACGCGTGAACCGTCAATCATACACACTGGAGGGATTGCTTGATTGGTTAGGTGGCGTGGTCCTTGAGGATGTCGAGGGTGAGCTCGCTGGGGTCGGTGGCCTGCACGTCGATCTGCGTGCCGTCCAGCTCCTTCTCGAACCCCTCGTTGGAGCTGGCGTAGATCATCTTGCTCTTCACCTCCGCACTCGCCGGCGACCTTCATCAATAATCACACATATGTCATCATCGTGCGGCTCACGTACGTAGTTGCATGATTTGAAGTACTCCTATTTAAGCGTAGCACAGGAGTACGTACCAGGAGATGAAGAATATCTTGCTGCGGGGCGCCTCCCCGTCGGCGCCTTTGGCGGTGGCGTCGCCGACGGTGAAGTCGAGGTCGTAGACGGCGTAGCAGCAGTCGTCGGCGGGGAGCGCCGCGGCGAGGTCGTCGAAGCCGGCGTCGCGGCCGCCCACCTTGTCCACCACCACCCGCTGCACGGCATCGTCCATCTTGTACACCACGAACCGGTGCGCCCGCCCCGCCCGCAGCTCCTGGAACGCCCTCACGCACTCCTCGCTCACCGCCACGCCCGACACCGCGTTCGCCTGCAATGTTCACGCGCAACCAAAAATCCACCAAAGTTATCGACAAATCCACGACGAACTAATTGAGCGTGAACTGATTAAGATTAAGAAGAAGAGGGAGTACCATTTTCTGTCTGGAGATTGAACCTTAAATCTGTGTGATGATGCTGCAGCGAAGAACTGCTAGTAGTAGGAGTATTTCGCAGTGGTTTTTTGTTGTTATTTCAGCGTGGTGTCGCCTGGTGCTTAAATAAGATGATTGTGTGTCGTGTCCAATGTGAGCGAGGTGAACACGTGTGGGCGCTGTGGTGTCGCTCTCCGTCGGGCGGACTGTTCTCGACATGGCGATGTGGCAGCGGGAAGAAGAAGAATTGGAGTGACTCACGCCCAAGAATCGAAGCTTGGAAAGGTCGTCTCGACTGATGGTGGCCAGATCCGCTTGCGTGGTCGGTCAGCAGATTGAGGGCGCGCCCTTTCCATCAGCATTATATCTAGCTTGATTCGCGAAGATCAGCTCAGCAGTTCGATTGTGCTTCATCCGCAGTGACGTGCATATTTCGGTTAGTACGCCTGTCAATCACGGTGGAAGGTTCGTTTTGCGTATCCAGGTGAGTAGAACTAGAATTGATCTGCGAATTCCTGTGGTGCCATTCAAGTTGACCATTGCATGTAACCCTTTAGCCTCATTCGGTTTGGAGGAAAGCAAAATGTAGGAATTTAGAGTAGTATAGAAATTTGATAAGATGGCAAGTGCCATCCTAAAGAATTGTCTTGCCTCGTTTCTACGCATAAAATGAGCTTTGAGTGGATGTGTAGATTCATCCAAAAACAAAAGAAATGAATAGTATTCCTATGAAATCCCCGTACACATTTTCTCCAAACCAAATGCATCTATAGAAAATTTTCTTGTGAAATCCTTATTCCTACGTTTTTCCTATAGAAATCCTTCAAACCGAATGAGGCCTTAAGTTTTTTGTTTTCTCCATTCATGCAAAGCCCACGACCAAGAGGGATGATAGTTCCACTACAGTATACTGGATAATGGAAAGGCCCTAATGGAAACGGGTAAAAAGATTATCGATTCACCGCACACAGCCAAGACACAGCTCACATCACGTTTCGAAGAACCAAGAAAGCTCGAGAGGAAAAAATCTCGGATGCTCTCTCTGCAGAAGGCCTTGTGCTTCGTCAGAGCATCTACACATCATAACAGGTTGCCTCTCGTTTTGTTGCCTCCATAACCGTCAGAGCATCCGAATAACATTGATCATCCAACGTAAAACTAGCAACTACATAAATTAACATACTTAGCCGTAAACGGTAAACAGACATAAGTCGGACATAATTATCATACTATCAGTTATCCGACATCCAAAGGATCACAGACAATACTAATAGATATTACAAAGAACTAAATAAAACGGATATATGGAAAAGGGCGGAGAAAATCACCATTTTCTCACCACGCCTTTCCCTTTGCGGTCACCAGTGCGGTTGTACCCCTCAGTGTAGGCATTCATGACCAAAGGGACGCCGTCGAACAAGTTAGAGTCGTTGGAGAAGGAGATGTCGTTGGCCATCCACCAGACCGCGCGCTCCTGCGCCTTCACCTTGGCTGCCGCCTTCACATAGCCTTGCGCCCCGATTGCTCGATGGCGAACCGAAGCACTATAGCGTTTTTGTAGGTAGCCGCCACACGTTAGTCTCTGCTATCGTGAGTGAGCGTCCGAGCACCGTCGCGACGAGCTGGTTCTCCGAATTCACCTGTGTGTGCGGCCACCGCCTCTCCTCCACCCACTGCCGCTCGTGGTGTGCGGTCCGCGCCTCGGTTTGCGGGAAAAAGGAAGTTCAGACGGATGTGGGACTCCGTTGGATGGCTTGCGGGGTCCAAATCACACGGCCCGTACAGATGTGGAAGGTTTGAGAGTCGCGTTACAGCTGCCCTTAAGCTTCTTTATTTTCTTCAATCATTCATTCATGCAAATCCCGTGGCAAGGGATGATAGCTCTTTCTACTCCCTCCGCTTCATAATTTATTGTGTATAATTTTTTTGAAAAGTCAAACTTTAATCAAGTTTATAGAGAAAATTATGTATATCTACTATACCGAAAACATAAAATATGAAACTACATCTTATGATGAATCTAATGATATATGTTTAGCATTCTAAATGTAAATATTTTTCTCCATAAACTTGCTCAAAGTTGGTGAGGTTTGGCTTAAAAAAAATTATATGCTACGTTATGGAATGGAGGGAGTAGGTAATGGAAACGGGTAAAAAGATTATCGGTTCGCCGCAAAGCCAAGACCAAGACACAGCTTCACATGACGTTTCGAAGAACCAAAAATGTGGAGAGAAAGAAAGTCCCTCTGCAGAAGGCCTTGTACTTCGTCAGGGTCTTGCGCTGCCACGTGCTGAAGCAACGCGCCAACGGACTGAAAGGATGGTTGGTGATGGTGAGTGAACCTGAGGCACAGACATGAAGAGACGCCTGGAACAGTGTCTGTCAGCACCTCCGTCCGTCCAAGCACCAAGTTACTTTTTTTTTGAGACAAAGCACCAACTTACTGAAGTAGAGTGCCAAGCAGGCTCCAGGCCTCCAGCAAGAGCAAGTCAAGGCCCAGAAGGAAGCCCAGCCCAGCCCACGCTTCGCTGGGAACAGAATTGGGTCGGAACACAGAAAAAAAAAGGGCATTTCCTCAAAAAAAAAAAAGCAAAAAAGGGCAAAGGAGGGAGCAGAGTGAAGGCACACAGAGGGATCGATCAGGCTGGCTCTTCCTTCCCCAATTCCTCTTGCAGACCTGCAGAATGAACGGTCACTTGAATCCTGTAACAAGGTTGTGACTGAATCCGAGTGAACCTAGGACGCATTTGGTTCCGCCGCAGCTCCCGAACGGAACTGAACTAGTAGATCATACCATAATCATTCTCTGGCTGTAACTGGCTACAATATCCAGGTGATCTCGTGATTGAAGAAACCATAAGTGTTACACCATGGCAGTTTTCAACAACTGCTCCCATGCAGCCCCAGATTTTACTAAGAAGATTGTGATTGATGTCTGAACACTGTTCATGTGAACTGCTGCTCTGGTTAAGAGCTCTACACGCCAAGTTTGAACACTTCATTCGTTGCATTTGCATCCCTGATGTGAACAGAGGCAGACGGCTATTCCATTGTACAAACTCAATCTGTTGAATCAAATTGATGAACTCTCTATGGTAGGAAACTAGGAATCGGCAACTCCTCTACATAATGTACCTGTATGGCAGGATTTGTTTACTTCGTTCTTGACATTGTGTGTAACCCTCTAAACTTCATTGAAAAGTTAACAGGATTTGCTTGTAACTTGCTAACGATCATCACGAAGAAGCTGCGTCATCTTCATCTCAATCTACTCACTACCGGCAGCCACACCGCACAGGAGAAGACCGCACATTTGGCCACCCTGTGGCCACGCCTCCCGACGGTCGTGCAGCACACACATCATCGATCAGTGAATGGTTGCAACAGGTTTGCACTGCAGACAGTAAAAAAAAAAGGGCTAATTTCATTATATCTGGGAGTACAAGTTGAAGACTAATAGGCAGGAGGAAATGGAAACAAAACTAACCGTGTTCCATGAGGCTGATTCAGTGCATCAGGATCTTGGCCGTGCACAACCAAAGATGCCACCCATGATGGAGGCGGTGAATTTTCTCCCAATAGGTTTGGTCTGATTTGCAATTTCCGCTGTTGCTTGGCACGGCGGAGAGCCTCTAGGTGAGGAGTTAGCATGGTGGATAAACAAAACGCTGGGTCTATTAGGATGGTTCTTTGCAGCTGTTTGCCACCCATCCTTTATCGACTCTTGTACTCCAGAATGGAGCGTGACTTCTTTTAGCCTTGCCATGCGTGTGATGTCGACGCCAGGAAGATTACCTAGAGCTGCACAAAGCATATGAAGTGACACAAGGTAGGGCATAGCTTCATCTTGGATTGTTATGTCCTCCATACTTTGCTCGCCCACAAGGCATAACCCCTTCAGGCTTCGGAAATGCTCCGGTTTTATGACCAAGTGCCCAAGCTTATCTTCTACCAGTTTAAGACACTTAAGTGTCATTCTAAGTTCAGACAGGCCATCTAGGATTGTGTCCCCGCTCAGATTAGTTCTTGAGAGGCACAACTCCTCGATGTAGTTCAGCTTTGCCTTGAACTGAGGGAGTCGCATCAGCTTTCCGCGCAATTTGAGCGAGGTAAGACGGCCTGTAGCTTGCAGAGAATCCATGAATTGTTCTGAGCATTCTGTTGGGCATCCTTGGAGGTCGATAGATAAGGAACGGTCAACTCTTGTCATATCCAGGCCTCCGCAAATGAATTTCTCCGTGGCCCCTAAAACACAAACTAGTTTCATCACATCTGCAGTGGAATCGCACCATATTTTCACCTTCCTCAACTTCCCCATGCGACTCATCAGCTGCGCAAACCCTTCGTTTTTGTCAGTGACAAATCCAGAAAGCCTCTGCAATTCACTATCTTCTGACAAGAGCTTCTCTAGCTTCTTATGTGTGCAGTCACCTTCAAGTAACTGAAACTTTCCAAGGAGGTGTTTCAACCCGGGGAGGTGGAGGACTTCAATTGGCAACATCACTACCTGGGTTCTCCTCATGTCAAGAGTCTCCAACCATTTTAGCTTCGCTATTTTCCTTGGAACCTTGTCAATACTGTCTCCGAGGCTCAGATATTTGAGCAGCAACAGGTCACATATTTTGCCAACATGTTCTGCTTTCACATCAGCACATTCTTTGAGGTCCAAAACCCGCAGTAGCTTATACTCGGCATAATTCAAATTAGCTTGATGCCTGGTCACATTTGTATCATCAGGGAATACTGCCAGAGTATGGAGACGAGATAACTCCTTTGGCAAATTCAGTGGCCCATTTGCCGCACCATTAAGATGGAGGGAAAGCCGGCGAATCTCTTTGCCCGGCAGATTCTTCTCTGTTGTCTGGCCGCCACACAACATGGTGATGAAATTCTGTGACTTGGATTTGCTGGAAATGGAGTTGAGCATTATCCCAGAAGTTTGGCATTTCTTCACATTTCCATAGGTCCTCACTTGAATGGGCTGAATGATGTTGCGGCTGATGAGGCTCTCCAAATTCTTGACCGCAACATCCTGGGAAAAATTCTCTGTTTCAGGCTGAGGAAACACAAGCCCTTCAGCCAGCCATCTCCTTATCAGGGGATTCCTCCTGACAGGATGATCGCGTGGGAACATGCAGAAATACAGCAATAAGTCCTGGACAACGGGGCTGGATAGGATCTCGTTGTTGCTGCGGTGCATTCTTGCCAGTGTGTCATCACGAAGATGGAGGCAGGCCTCCACAAATCCACTCTCTGTCAGCTCCCCAATGAAAACCTGGCTTGTGCTATCCATAGCAAGTGATGAACCATTGCCACATTTGCAGCATGTCGCTGCTGGTAGTTGAATGGTCGTCGTCATGATAATTCTGCCGCCCATTCCATCAGCCCAAGAGAATGCAGATAGTACGTCGTACAACTCATGTGTATTCACGCCATCAATCACAATCAAATACCTACAAGATATATAATGAATGAGTCAGTTGGGAAAATGAAAATGAAAATCACAATCAAATACCTACAAGTTTAACCTACAGTCCTAGACCACATTCCATCAATCTATTTTTATCAGAATCGACGTAGGTTGTTTTAGAGCTTAAATTTTCCTCACTCCACAGTTCCGCTTTGTTCCTACGATGAACCAGTTGAGGTCTACAGGTTATCTACAAGCTCTTCAAAACATATTTGCCCTCTGCAATAGCTTTATCTACTTTTAGCATTTCATTTCTCACAAGAATATATTCAGGGGGTGTTGCCCTACAGTCCATTGTGACAAAAAAAGAGGATATTCCAACTGAATCATGTTTTCAACAAGTTCACAACAATAACACTGTTAAAGGCAGCCCTAGAATGCTGGCTATGGCACTAATAATAGGCGGTAATATATTTTTCATGAAGAAATCTACTTTTCTATAGGTGAATAATACTAATTTTTGTGATAACATTGATGTTATGAAATAACAAAATGATGATAAAGTCCCTAGCACAGTACAACAAATATAATTGAAGTAGATTTTGATAAGAGAACAATAACAAAAAGAAAGATGAACTGCAGAAGTGCAGATTACAAGGTTAGTGTGAATGAATGTGCAATTACATACCACCTAGCACCAAAAGATTCTTAGTCACTCCACGCACAGATAGAGGGTGCAACTTATAGATCGAAACAAGCTATGAAAAGACAAAAGTTGAGTAAGATTTCTTTCATGTCCAAGCGTCATTCTTACATATTTCATTATAAGCTGATGTGGTATGTTTTACAAAATGAATAGTCGCGTCAACATTTTGATTTGTAGAGAAGATGCAATAATGAATGATTAGAGAACAAAGATATACTGAATAATTTCTATAAGGGCATTTGTGTCCACCACATCGCATAACTCAAGATTGTTTTATGCAATCTGCCACTAACTGACCATGTATCTTTTTCTTTTATTTTTTGCAAGCATATGGATAAATGCAATAGAAAGCACCACCTTATCATGACTACGTACATGTTATCTTCCACTGCATATTTCATCTATACTATTAACAATCTACTATTTCCCCGCAGCAATGGGCCGATACTAGTTAAGGCAGAGGCTGTATAATCACCTTCCGGTCTTGAGTAGTCCGGCGAGCAGGTGGTCACTCGCGGCATGTTCGGCGCCGTCTCCGTTGACTTGTGGTATGATTCTGGAGCTGGAGGCAGTCGCACCATGATTCTTGGTAATACTGATTAACAAGCAGTTGGTCATGTATTTTCTGAAGAAGCTTGAGCACACTCATGCCCGGTGATGCACGAACCCAGGCGTGCAGAGGGAACTGGCTGCGCACATCCCTGTCACTGTAAACCTTGTGGGCAAGGTGAGTCATACCTACTCCACTGAAGCCGGCGACAGAGATGACCTTGAGATTCCCCTCCGATTGGCTCCGCGCAAGCAGGCCAAGAAGTTGCTCTTCCGGATCCTGATCAGTGCCCCCAGCTGCAGCGGGGGGATCAGGTGCGGCGGCGCCGGCGATGCTGATGCAGTTCTGTAGCTGCTCGAGAGTCTCCTTTGACCTCTTCTTCAGTTTGCAGATCTTCCCGACGAAACTGATTCTGCTCATCTTCCCGACCTGGAAGCGGTCGATGCAGTCTTCCATGTCGTCGGCCAAGCGCCTGAGATCTCGGACCCAGAGGTCCGTGATGGATCTGCCGCCACTCGAGCGGCCAATGATTTCTTGGATCGACTGGAGGTCGCGCCGGATGAACCCGGCGTCCACCTCCATGCTGTCCAGCTGCTTCCTTTTGCCATCTATCACCGACAGGAGCTTCGGCAGGAGCTTCACTATCGGGCCGACGGCCGCCGCAACCTCCATCGCTCTCCTGGTAGCTAGTCTTCTCCCTCCCTCTCCCCCTCCGAGCTTTGGATTCCTTTTGAGATACTACGTGGCCCCCCTCCCCGAGCTACTAGTACAGTGACAGTGCAGCCTGCAACACCACAGCGAAATAAATTCGCAACAGTATCCGAGGCAATAATGGCGTCGAGTTTTCCCCTGTACAAGTTAGCAGAGGTCCCACTGCTCATCGAGTTGTGTTGTTTCCCCACGCCGACCACTGGAGAAGTTGGTGCTCGCCTCGTCGGGATCGAGATCTTCCAGGGTAATGCTGGTTTCCTCCCCTCGAATTTTCTCGTGCTTTCCGATCTTCTCATCCATGGCAACAATCGATTAGCTTGTGCAGGTGCGGGTGAGAACCGGTGAAGATGGAGGACGAGCCTGATCCTGCTTCGCCTGAGGCGAACATGGAGGATCTCATCACGGCTTCGCTCGGCCCCATGGGCCGCCTCCTCCGGCGACTCCATTCTTTCGAGGCTTCTGAACACCTTCTGAACACCCTAGCTTCAAGCCCAAGTGGTGGACCAAGGAAGTCCGGGAACTTGCTTACGACACAGAGGACTTCTTCGAAGAGGTTATGCAGTCCCGTGGCGGTGGCGGTGGCGGCGACGGCGCCGTTGTTCGCAGAAGCGATTGTCTTTGTACCATCTTTACGGGAAAGCAGCGCCAGCTCCAGATTGCAGATGATTTCTCACAATTAATGGCTCGTGTGGATGATGCCACAGAAAGATGGCAAAGTTTGCTGCTTGTTCCGGAGACAGCTATCAAACCTGACCGTGTGCAAGCCGGTATTAGTTACCGCATGCCTGAACTGCCCCTCGACCTGCCGGTGTCAACTCTGCCCAACTCCGGCGTCCAGGTGGACACTGCCGGCCATAACATAATTGGTGTCGAGGAATCCATGGACAGGCTTGTTAGCTTGATGGCTTTCGGCGATGCCAACCAAAAACAACTGAAGGTGGCACCTATATTTGGATCTGCAGGTGTTGGAAAAACAAAGATTGCCAGAACAATATATCATCAGTATGGAGGGGAATTCCAGTGCCGGGCTTTTGTACGGGTGTCCCGAAATCCCGATATGAGGAGGCTTCTCACCTGCATCCTCTCACAAATTAAGGCACCAGGGACTCATGCTTTTTCTGATGCGCATGACCTTATTGACAGTATCGTCAAACATCTTCAAGGGAAAAGGTATATTTCCATGTTGTTCTGATTTTTTTTTCTATGTTTAGGCCAGGGCTGTTTGGATTGCTGGAAATGCATACTCAAAATGTGTTTGCTTACATACAGCCCCTACACAAGTTCACTGATACCAAAGCACAAAAGTTATTAATGAGAATGACCAAATCTGTAAATGTCATTTGAATCTCATTGCCCTACCTTATCACGCGAATAGTTCCCAATTTTCTCATGCCAACCTATCAAAATGGAATTAGAGCCAAGCTTTATTCAAAAAGAATTATTGCAGTCATGCTTCCATGAGGGAATTCATGCTCAATATCTCTTGATTTGATGAGGACTTCACATCGTGTGCTATATGGGTGCCTCAACACATGTGTGTCCCAGGCAAAGAAAATCATTACCGGCTGGCCACAATAATGTATAGGGAATTAGGGATGAGGAACATTCACATATTAGAATACCACAAGATTGATTCGATCTGTGTGTTAGTTTTATCAACATCCATGGATTTAAAATGACTCAGTGATTCAGATGTGAATAGAAGGAACAAATCGAGGCAGTTAAACAAATGCAGATTTTCGATGGGATCAAAATTCAAACAGAGGCTGTAATTATTTGTCATAAGGTAGGCAAAACCAGAATAAATAATTAGTACACATTTGCCCTCTTTCATTAAGAACTGTTTTTGCTTTTTACTGAAGCAAAACTCATCTTGTTTCTGCGGGATTTTCAGCTGTTCAGGCATTTGGATTGCGGGGAAATCAATGAAATGGGAATAGTAAATTATCTAAAGGAATTTTTTCCTTATTAATGTCCGATCTATATATTTCGTATAGAAAAAAAAATGTCTCTAATAGAAACTCTAGGTGGTTATTTGGATTGTGTGATTTGTTATGGATTTTGCTAGAATGTGCTTTCTGATAAGATTTAACAAAACATACGTAATTCGTAAGTTTTATTAACAGATATTTAACCCATTATCCAGTTAGGACACGATGTCTTGGAAACTTTGCTTGGCTAAACTGGACTTTAGTAACTATCTTATTGTGGTTTTATGGAAAACAGGTAAAAAAGTGCTTTACGTATGAAAAGAATTCGAATTTGTCTTTTTTTTTCTTGTAAAGTTTACGTTCCATCATATGTATCATGAAGTTCCAAAGCTATCAATGTTCTAACATGACTATATCTATGAGTTTGACATTCTTCTGAGATGCTCACATGCTCAAACCCTAAACTCATGGACCCACCCTTTCATGTAAATTGTCCATTTTTTTGTCGAAAAGTATGTAATTGTCCACTCTCTTCGGAAAAAAAGGAGATAAGTCTGATTTTTTTGGCATAAACACCAGCACTCACTCTTTTCTTAGTTTTATGTATTCTCGTTCCAGATAAATCAAGTTTTGTATGGATTGTGTTTCTTCACATATTTCTTTTGTGAAGCTTTACCAAGTATATTCGGTATGACTTGCAGATACCTCATTGTAGTCGATGATTTATGGACATCAGCAGCATGGGATATTATTAGCCGTGCTTTTCCATATGATGATTGTTGCAGCAGAATACTGACAACCACACAAGTTGAGGATGTAGCATTAGCATGTTCTGGTTACGAGTCAGAGTACATATTTAAGATGGGACCTCTTAATGATGGTGAATCTCGAAAATTATTCTTCAATAATGTTTTTGGTTCTGAAGGTGAAGGTGCTTGCCCTAAAGAGTTGGAAGTAGTTGCAGATAGGATTATCAGGAAATGTGGTGGTTTACCGTTATCAACTGTAAATATAGCAAGCCTGTTGCTACCAAGCAAGTGGAACCCTGCAATGGAGCAATGGGAGGCGGTAGAAAGTTCTCTACCCTCCACTTTGAGGACAGATCCTACATCCCAAGGGATGAAAGATGTCCTAATCCTTATTTACAATAGGCTTCCACTTCATTTGAAGACATGCTTGCTCTACCTTAGTATGTATCCAGAGGGCCACACTATTAGGAAGGATGATTTGGTGAAGCAATGGGTAGCTGAAAGTTTGACCGGTGAGACTGAGTATGGTTACTTTGGTGAGCTTGTCAGAAGAGGTATGATCCAACCTGTAGAAACGAGCTATGATGGGGAGGTGTTGTCATGTACACTAAACCATATGGTACTGGATCTTATCAGGTGCAAATCCATTGAGGATAATTTCATCATTGCTGTGAACTATTTTGAACCAAACCTACGGATTCCTGACAAGGTTCGTCGATTGTCCATCCAGTTCGGAGGTGCAAAAACTGCAAAGATACCGGAAAGCGTCAGAATGTCCCGAGTTCGATCACTTCTGTTTTGTGGACCCTCCAGATGTGTACCTTCCATTCCGGATTATGGCCTTCTCCGAGTTCTGATTCTTCATATTTGGGCTGATCAAGACCAGATGAGTTTTGACCTCACTAGAATCGATGAACTATTCCGACTGAGATATCTTATGATTGAATGCAAGAGAACACAAAATATGAGTACAAAGGGGAAGATGGGAATAGAGAACCTGTTGACGGGTACGAATTTTTCCTCCCTTTGATGATCAAATTGATTAGTCAATCTATGTTTCTCCTGTGATGCTAAACTGTTGCCGTAATCAGGGGATTTTCTATCACTATCTATACGGCAGAGGAGAGATCCTCTCCTGTGTTGCCTCGGACAAGCCCTGACCAGCAATGCTGCCAGACACTCCTCTGTGCATGGGCCAGGGCCAGGCGCACCTTGAAAGTCAGATGGACCACCTTCAAAGCCGCCTACAAAGCCCGTGATGATCTCCTCTGGTGGCATAATCTTGCACAATGCAACGCCGGAGAGCTCTCCATGGCCTATGTCCAGGCTAATCATCTGATGGAGGACCATTGTCGCGTAGAGTCATCTCCTACCCTCGGCACCTTCGTCGGTATATTTGATGGTCACGGTGGCCCCGAAGTCGCCCGCTTCACTGCTGAGCATCTCTTCCCTAATCTCCAACCCAAAGCCACGTGTCGCAAGCAGGCTGTGACAGCTGAAACCATCAGGATGGCATTCCTGGACACAGATGAAAGCTTCATTGCTCTTGTGGAGAAACAATGGGCAGTCACGCCTAACCTTGCCGCCGTCGGGTCATGCTGCCTCGTCGGCGTCGTGCACCAGCGGACTCTCTTCGTCGCCAACCTTGGGAACTCCCGAGCTGTTCTCGGAAAAGTTGATCTCAACGGGGGGATTTGCCCAGTGCAGCTGTCCACTGAACATGTTGCCTCTGATGAGAATGTCAGGCAGGAGCTCAGGGCTCAGCACCCCGATGATCCACATATTGTGGTGCTTAAGCATGATCACTGGAGAGTGAAAGGCATCCAACAGGTCGTTCTTATCCTAATGTTTGGTTTTCTGTCGCAGTATGTGCATTCATGTTCAGTGCTTACGCAGTGGATGATGCAGGTGTCGAGAACAATAGGTGACGCATACTTGAAACACCAGCGGTTTAACAGGGAACCACTCCATAGTAGGTTCAGGCTTAGGGAACCATTCAGCCGGCCTATATTGAGTGCTGAACCATCTATCATCTCATACAGTCTTAAACCAAGCGACCGTTTCATCATATTTGCATCCGATGGCCTGTGGGAGTTCTTGAGTAATGAGGAAGCCATCGAGATTTTCACAAAAATGAGCGTAGTGTAAGCCTCCACACTTGTCTATTTCCTCTCATTCAGCTTGTTTATGTAATAATGCTCCTTGGCTTTCACGTGTTGCCTAAGATGATCTTTTAATCAACCAATTTGCGAAATCTCTATGGCCATACCATTTACCATCAAGTACATCTATTAAATCTGTATGCCTTCAAACCTTTTTATGCAAACCTATTGTTACAGTAGGGAAGTTTTGCTTTGCATTAGAAAACTAGGAGCGCATGGGAAATTGTTATTAACTCTTTCCTAACTTCATCCAAGCCATGGAAGTAGTTATCTGCATGCAAAATGTGTACTGGGCTATTGTAGGTACAAAGAACGAACACGGGTTTGTTACTAGTTAGAGTTCCTAGGGATTCCTGCCGTATGCATTTCTGTTCTTGATAATCTTGATTTGTGTAATGCTATGCGTGAAGCCGCCAAGTAAAGTTATGAAGATACGGTTGACAATTTGATATGCTTTTTTGACCAAGCTGTAGTCCATGTAATGTGAACCATAAATTTGATTCACTTGGTATACCTGCAAGGATAGTTTTTGTGTTTTCTGAGAGAAAAACAATATATTTATTATGACTGGCATGCCTTTTCCTTTTTATTCAGGGAATTGCAAGAAGGCTTATAGAAGCAGCTGTACAGGGAGCGGCGCGGAAACGTAAGATGCGTTACTCAGATCTCAAGAAGATCGAGAGGGGCGTTCGCAGGCATTTCCATGATGATATAACCGTGGTTGTCTTGTTTATAGACCATGGCCTATCAGTGACAGATCATTCACAAGAAAGTCCGGTCCTTTCCATTAGTGTACCTTCGGGCATCGGCGATCTAGCCAGGTCGTAACGTTGGTTTTACTGTGCTCACCCGTCAAACTATGTGTGATGATTACTGATTCACAACTTTGATGCTGCTGTGCTCGTCTGTCAAACTATGTAGGATGATGTCTAATCCCAGCCTTGAAAACCTCTTTCTCCGAAGAATGTGGCTTTAACACATCTTTTTTCTTCTGCAGAACGCTGGGCTATGTCGTTGGTACTGCGATGTGTGTCGCTGCTTGTTCTGAACTAGTACTTGCGTGGATACAAAAAACACGACTTGTTCTTGATCATTCTTACGTGTGTAATCCAGTTAACGGCCAATTCGAAAGGGGACAGCTAGTACAGGCTATCCTAACAAAAGGTGGTCTTCGCCTGCCAACGGCTCTGGTGATGACGCCGTCCTGGGCTCCATGGTGACCTCCATCTTGCCGTCCTTCTAGTCTTGGTCTCGTTGCACCAATATGAATATCTTTGCTTGATGCCTCAGTACTTCGCGCATGCGCTTGCCCCCTTAGCACCAGAAAGGAAACAAGGACGCTGCGCGCACTGGCGCCCGCCTGGCCTCGATCGTCATGGCTCACGTCACGAGGACCTCGCGAGGTTTGCCTTGCCTTGATCTTTCCGCCCCTCGTGAGCCTGCCTGGCGAGGCCGCTCCTGAGGAGGTCTTGCGTTGTCCGCCTCGCGAGGCTTGGTCCCTCGCGAGGGTCTTGAATGCCTTGTCGACGAAGATGGGCCGTACAGACCTGCCAGGCCAGCCACGTCGTGGGCCGCAGGCAGGCAAGTCTGGGGACCCCCGTTCCCAGAACGCCGACAGTAGCCCCCGAGCCTAAGGCGCGCTCGGGCTTGGCTTCGAGGCGAAGCCAAAAGGTCAAGCGTGGAGCACCGCGGGCCCCAAAAGCCTGCGGCCTCGGTTGAGGCGTGGCGGTTGATTGGACCTGGGCGTCTCCGCTTCCCCACGCTGCCTCGGCAACTGCCCGACTTGACAAAAAGGCTGGCTCAGACAGTGCTTACCTTCATTGCTTCTTCCTCGCCTTGCTCCAAATCCCCTTTCTCGCTCCTTGCTGCCGAAACCTCTAGATCTGCTCCAACATCGCTCTGCATCCGCGACCAATGGCGCCGTGCAAGGTCAAGTCCTCCTCGGCGCCACTCTGGTTCGAGCCAGCCCTTGATGCGCCCAATGTCACAAAGAAGAACCTAGCCACTACGCGCTTGCTGGCGGCGGGGAAGAGCAACGAGAGGGGGAAGACGGAGCTCCGGCTTGCCTCCGACGAGCCGGAGCCTGAGGGAAGCACCTTCTTCCCTTTCTTCACGAGCAGCATCGCCGCCGGGTTGGTTCCCCCCTTTTCCGATTTCTTTTTTGAGGTCCTTAACCACTTCGGGGTTGCAGGTGCTGCATCTCCATCCCAACTCCATTCTCCTCTTGTCTATCTTCGCCTATTATTGCGAGGCGTACCTGGGCGTGATGCTGTCCGTGGCACTGCTGCACCACTTCTTCTTCCTCCGCCTCACCGACGGCCACATCTCCGGGTGCACCAACTTCATCGCGGCCGGCCAGGCCAACTCTATCTCGAACACCGGGAAGAGGGTTGACAACATCAGGGCCAAATGGGTCATGATGAGTGCCAAGTGCATCCATCCACGCTTGGAACTGCCGAGGAAGGTGCCCAGTCTGACAAGGGGTGGTCTCGTGTAGAGCTCGCCGACGAGCGGGCTTCGTCGGTGTTGGAGCAGATGAAAATCGATTTGAAGCCGGGCAATGCGAAGGCGGCCAAGGTGACGGGGGCCATGCTCCTGAAGGAATTCTTGACGCTGCATGTTGCTCCACTTCAGGCGCGCGCGCCCTTTGTGGATTCTTGGAGATGAAGAAGACAAGGTTCGTCTGAGCCCGGTGGCCTTGCCTGATGACGAGTTGACTGTAGTTCTGCCCCTCTTGGTTGGGGATAACCAAGAGTACCCGCCGAGCGCCTTTGTTCCTTTGTTCCATCGCAAGGACTGGGAGAAATTTGTTGCCTCCAGGCCGACCTTCGACGCGCGCGGGCTGGTACTGCCGGCGCTCGCTGGGGCCTCTGCGGCGCCGAAGCCGGTGGAGGTGTCTTCCGATGAGTCCCGCGGGGAGGAAGAGAGGGAGGAGGACTCGGAGGAGACTCCCGAGAGGATGTGGGAGAACTCCCGCTTGAGCAAGGCCGACATCCTCCGCGCTCTACCAGACGATGCCGAGGTCGACGCCCGCCAGGAGGTGAGGGAGCTGCCCCTCATCCCGACAAGGGGTATATCATCGCTGGTCTCTCGAGATGCCGCCTCCGACTTGGTACCTCCTGGGGCTGGCTCCGGTCCTTCTGCTGCGCCGTCTTCTACCCCGGGAGCCCGTGTGCCCATTCCTCAGGCCCCGACGCTTTCGGGTTTCAGGCTTACCAAGCTGAAGGTGGACTATGTCGCAGTGGATCAGTAAGTGCTTCGAGCTTCGTCTTGTTCCTACTTGTACTTGCTATTTTCTGACATTTGCCTTTGGTTTGATCAGGCTGGTGTCTTTAGCGAAGAAGAGGAAGGGGGATGCCGCGGTCGTGCCCCCCTCTTCGTAGAAGAGAGGCAACAACACCCGCACCTCCCCAGCCCGGTCGCCCTTGCGAGGCCAAGAGGAGCATCGGCATGATGAACCAGCCTCCGTGGCCCCACTGGCTCCGGAAGTGCCAGCACCCGGCTCTGCTGATGAGGTCCCAAAGGGTCCGGAGCCCTCGATCTTCCAGGTTCTGGTAACGACGTCGCCTCCTTCTTTTGCTGCGCCTCTGGCCCCAAATTCTTCCGCTCCCTTCGTATCCTTGGAGCGTGTCTTCTCGGGGATGGCCAAGCTGCAGGAAGACCTCCTGGGTGTGGACCCACACCTAGTGGCCGGGCACCTGGAGCTGGCCTCGGGCTGGCTTCACTCCGACTCGGCCATTCGAGTGTCGCTGAGCCAGGCCACTGCGGCCTCCGAGAAGGAGAAGCAGGCCGCCGCTAGAGCTGCGGTCGATCATGAGGTGGCGCAGAAGGACGCCGAGGCCGCCCGTGACCGCTGCCGAGAGCTAGAGGGCGAGCTGAAGAGGCTGCACGACGAGCGCGCAAAGGAAGCACGCGACCACGAAGCGAAGGGGAAGGAGATGAAGGCTTGGGAGGATGCCATCAAGGGCCGCGACGCCGAGCTGGGGAAGCTGACGAAGGTGCAGGTCACGGAGCGTAGCCGACTGGAGGAACTAGAGCAGAAGGCGAAGACGAGGGAGGCCGAGCTCGACGCCAAGGTGAAGGTGTTGGCCAAAGACCGCGAGGCCTTCTCGCTTCTTGAGAAGAGGTCCAGCGCGACGCTGAAGTCATTGTACGAGAAGGGCCCGGAGAAGCCGCTGACCACCGACGAGGATGGCCTTGCTCAGCTGCTTCCCCACTTGGTGAAGGCGCTTGAGGAAGTCGTGGAGGGCATCGGTCCCATGGCCGAGGCAGAGGCTCGTGTCCTTTCTTCAGCTGCGCTGACGCGTGTCTTCAGCCATCTGTACCTTCGCGACCCCAATGCTCGTCTCGACGAGCTGCTGGAGCCTGTGGCTGATGAACGTTGTGCGGCCGCTGCCGCAGCCATGAAAGGTCAGGTGGAGGCCCTGCTGAAGAAGTTCTGCGGCTTCATCCTCGCTCCCTCGACCGGCGATGCCACCGATGCTGCAGATGGCGGTGTCCAGGGGTGACCTGCGGCTGCTTTCCTGTTTTATTCCTGCAATATGCATCAGGCCTCGTGGAGGCGTTAAACTTTCATTTGATATTGTGAGAACAATATGTCTTGTAATATTTGCTTCGAGATTTTGCGATTTTCTTCCTATTTGCTTTGTGTGCTGCGTCGGCAGAGCCCGTCCCCGTGCATACCTCAACCGTCGTTGGGCCGACCGGAGACCAGGACGGGCCAAGGAGTGAGGGGCTACGTGACCAGTTAGGCTCCTGAGTCGCGATGCTCAGGAATCCCCCTTGAAGAGCAAACAGCTTACAGGGAGAGTACGCGAGGATAGGTTAATGTTCTACGTCGGCAGAGCCCGGCCCCGCACATACCTCAACCGCTGTTGGACCGACCGGAGACCAGGACGGACCAAGGTGTGAGGGGCTACGTGACCAGTTAGGCTCATGAGTCGCGATGCTTAGGAGTCCCCCTTGAAGCGCAAATATTCTCTATAAATTTGCTCTCGCCGAGACCCGGCTCGGGAGGGGCGTGCGACGACCAGGTTCAGGAGACCTGGCTGGGTGGTGTACACTTGGGCGTGACCCGAGTGCAGCCCCCGTGCCCAGCCCCCTCGCGCGGCTTTCCCGAGGGGAGGCGTTGCGGTGAGGCCGGACATTGAGCTCTGTGGCTCCCTGAGGTTGGTACGACAGTGAAGCCGCCCTCAGTTGTTTATCACCAGCGTGGAGCATTGTGCTTCCGCTTGTGCACGGGCATAGCCGCTCCTCGGCAGTGTCGACGGCCAGCGCGGAGCATGGTGCTTCCACTTGTGCGTGGGAGGGGGGCTCCCTCTGCGGAGATCCCCCGGGGCGTGTACAACCCCGTCGTGACACGTGGCTTGCACGGCAGGGCTAGACGAGGTGTATCTGGGCACTCGTGAGCCAGCGCGGGACTCACGGGGCCCCACCTCAAGGCGGGTTGCGCCTGGTCTTGGTTCTTGTTTGTTGTGCTTGTCCTGCGAGGTGGTCAGACAACCTGCGCTGAACGAATCTCCTGAGGTTATCACGTGAGAAAGCCAAGCACCAACGGCCCCCAGGAGGTGACATAAACGGGGCCGGCCCGCCAGACAGAGCTCAGCCGTTAGATTT